GACTGTGACTTTTAAAGTCTTTTTAAAGAGTGTTTGGGGTGGCACCTGTGGCTCAAGGAGTAGGGCGCCAGCCCCATATACCGGAGGTGGCGGGTTCAAACCCGGCCCCAGCCAAAAACTGCAAATAAATAAAAATAAAGAGTGTTTGATCTCCTCAGTTGCAAGTTTTACAAGCAGGAAATGCATTCTATTGTTATCTTCCCCTCCAGTGCCCAGAATTCTAAAAGTAAGTACCCAGTAAATTCTGACCTTCACCCCCTGCTCCCCACCAGATGTCAGAGATAGCAGTTGCCAAGTGGAACAGCTGCCTGGGCACTTCCCAAAGGATGTACGAAGCATCAGGGATTTGCTAATGCAAGGTAGGGAACGGGCCCTTCCTGGAAAGTCACATTGTCATTCCAAGAATATTTCACCTTTAAAAGATATCTTTTCTCCTTGCTTCCTAGTCCAGATCTCAAATATCCTATTTTAAAGATTTGTATCTCCCCCAGGAGGCTTTTTGAAAACCAATTTTTAAATTAACTATTACCTAAGGCACGCCTGTATAAATAAAAAAAATGGGGATAAAGAAAGAAAAAGAGGCTACATCTAATCCTGTGCATTAAAGAAAACAATCTATGAACATTTCTCTGTGCTGAATTTACTGTAAATTTACTGACTTTTGCCTATCTTCATGACACCTATGACAGGAGGAAAGAAAGGCAAGACTTGTATATTTAGTACCATGAACATACACTAAGGAAAAAGTAAACTGAAAAGAGGAAAAACATGTAGTAATGGAGTTTAACAGGGGTCGGGAACAGAACGCACCCTTCCAATTAAGAATCAGTTTCATTTTTCTGTTTGGTTTTTCTCCTTCTAGAAACTCACACAGAAACCAAAACATTCATCCAAAATCAGACTGTGGCTACCCTGCAGTGCTTTGGCTCTGGGAGCAAAGTGAAAATCAACCGCGTGTATTTGGTGAGAAAGTCAAAGGTCAAGCATATTCTTAAGAACCTGAAGATCATTGCTGTTCCCCACAGAAACAGCTCTGCCTCCTCAAGCTGTCAACTAACCCCTACATTCGAGTTTCCAACAAGATCTCTTCTAACAGGCAAAGGTGAGATTGGAAAAGGAGATGGAGACAGGCATTAGCTTTCAGCTGACTTCCTTGAAGCCAGCTAGAGCTTATTAGCAGCTAAAGCCACAAGGAAATGGATTATTCTCCCCTGGGACAAATTATGTTCTCTTTGAGAATCAGTTTTCTAGTCTCTAAGGCCCCTTCTAGCCCTGATATGCTGTGATTTTCATGTGGTTGCCATTTCTTCTTTTCTTTTTACTACAATGCTAAGGATGATCTCCATTTTTGATGGGTGTTGAATTGATAGTTTTTTTTTTCTTTTTTTTGAGACAGAGCCTCAAGCTGTTGCCCTGCGTAGAGTGCTGTGGCATCACAGCTCACAGCAACCTCCAACTCCTGGGCTCAAGTGATTCTCCTGCCTCTGCCTCCCAAGTAGTTGGGAGGCACCCGCCACAACACCCGGCTATTTTTTGATTGCAGCCGTCATTGTTATTTGGCAGGCCTAGGCTGGATTCAAACCTGCCAGCTCAGGTGTATGTGGCTGGCGCCTTAACCGCTTAAGCCACAGCTGCCGAGCCAGTTTTTTTCTTTACTTTGTGCTTTGGGGTGTTTTTTGAGACAAGGTCTCACTTAGTTGCCCTGGGGTTGAGTACTCCGGTGTCATAGCTCCCAGCAACCTCAAACTCCTACCCTCAAGTGATCCTCTTGCCTCAGCCTCCCAATCTGGGATTATAGGCGCCCAACACCTGGCTACTTTTCCTATTTTTAATAGAGACCAGGTCTCGCTTTGCTCAGGCTGGTCTCAAATTCCTGAGCTCAGGCTATCCACTTTGCCGTGGCCTCCCAGAGTTTTAGGATTATAGGCATGAGCCACTGAGCCCAGCCTGGAATTTTCTTTATTTTGAACGTACACAGTAAAATGTTCAAACAGCACAGATTTATAGTGAAAAAGTAAGTCTTTCTCCTACTATCTCTCAATCCTCAAGTTCTTTATCCTGAGAGAACCATTATTCCCAACTTACTCTATTTCCTTCCAGAAATAATCTTTTTTTTTTTTTTTTAACAACTTTTGTTGTTGTTGTTGTTGTTTTTGCAGGTTTTTTTGGCTGGGGCTGGGTTTGAACCCGCCACCTCCATCATATGGGGCTGGCGCCTTACTCCTTTGAGCCACAGGCGCCACCCTTCCAGAAATATTCTGAGCACATGCCAATATACAAATCTTAAAAACATAAATGATGGCATACCATATACGTTATTCTATACATGTTTCTTCCACTTAGTGATATATCTTATAGGTTGTTTCATATCAATCTGTATATATCTGCCAGCCTTATTTTTTATTTATTTGTTTATTTATTTTGACACAGGGTCTTGCTCTGTTACCCAGGCTAGACTGCACTGTTATCATCATAGCTCACCGCAACCTCAAATTCTTGGGCTCAAGAGATCCTCCTGGTTGGTTAGTTTTTAGTTGTTTTTTTGTTTTCTACAGTTTTTGGCCAGGGCTGGGTTTGAACCTGCCACCTCCAACATATGGGGCCAGCGCCCTACTCCTTTGAGCCACAGGCGCCACCCAGCTTGGTTAGTTTTTATCTTTTTTTTTTTTGTAGAGATGAGTCTTGCTCTTGCTCAGGCTAGTCCAAAAGACTCCTAGCCTCAAGCAATCCTCCTGCCTCGACCTTCCAAAGTGCTAGGATTACGGGTGCGAGCCATCTTCCTCGGCCTGCCTCATTCTTTTTAACAGTTGCACAGTATTCCATTGTGTGGCTATAATTTATTCAACTATTCCTTTACTGACAGATATTTTGGTAGTTTCCAATCTTATGCAAATACAAACAATGCTACAATGACCTTACATATTCTTCTTATACATATGCAGTTTATTAATAAGATAAATTCCAAGAACAGGACTGCTGTGTCAAAGGTTTGATACATATCACTAAATTACCCTTCATAGATGTAGTTCCATTTTGCATTCCTACCCATATTGTGAAAAGTCCTATTCCCCCATACCGCCTAGGCAATGTGGGAAAAACTTCAAAAAATAGACTAGAGATTGGGAAATCAAGTGGATATGCTCTCAGGATGTGGCCTGGGTATAGCAAATTATACATTCTCACATGTCCTGAATGTTTAATTCACTTCATTATTGGCTGGGTGCAGTGGCTCACACCTGTAATCCTAGCATTCGGGGAGGCCAAGGGGGGTAGATTGTCTGAGCTCACTTTGAATTCAAGACCAGCCTGAGCAAGAATGAGACCGTGTCTCCACTGAAAAACAGAAAAATTAGCCCGGCATAGTGGCACATACCTAGCTACTCAGGAGGCTGAGGCAAGAGGATTGCTCAAGCCCAGGAGTTTGTGGTTGCCATGGCACTTTACCCAGGACAACAGAGTAAGACTCTGTGTCAAAAAAAAAAAAAAGAAAGGAAGAAAGAAAGAAAAATTCACTTTTTTATCCTTTTTAAAATTCCAAAGTAATGATATCTGTAGGAAAAAAATCTTTTTTTTTTTTTGAGACAGAGCCTCAAGCTACCCCCCTGGGTAGAGTGCTGTGGCATCACAGCTCACAGCAACGTCCAACTCCTGGGCTCAAGCGAGTCTCCTGCCTCAGCCTCCCAAGTAGCTAGAACCACAGGCACTCGTCACAACACCCAGCTATTTTTTGGTTGCAGCCGTCATTGTTGGTTTTGGCAGGCCAGGCTGGATTCAAACCTGCCACCTTAGGTGTATGTGGCTGGCGCCTTAGCCACTTGAGCCACAGGTGCTGAGCCGAAAAAATTCTTAAAAACTCAAAAGACTTCTGGCAAGATTTTGGGCTTTCAGCCACTCAATATTAATGCAAATTTTAATTCAATCAAATTGTTTTCCTTGTAAGCTATGACAGCCTGGTTGAGTTAGTGGCACTTGTGACAGAGTATAGTGGACTTAAGTTATTTTGGAGTCTAGAGCCATCTGAGCAGAGTGAGCCATCTGAGCATTGTGGTATGCATTGTGGGACTCAGGGTAATTAAGGACATCAGCTCTTAGAAACTGGGGACAAGGAAAACTGAGAGGTTAAGGAAAAGGAGAGATGCCAAAGATCAACCTGACCCAATTTTAAAAATTGCCTTTAGTTACCCTCCCAGGAAATAAGGAAGACACTCTTCCTCCTTCCTTCATGGCATGGTGGTTGGTCCCCACATCTAGAACTTAAGCTACTACCCTGTACTATTTAAGCCATACAAAGACACTAAATGGATGTTTATGAATTAGTCTGGAGACCTAGTAACCATTCACCATATATTTCTATGAAACCACAATGATAAATTCCCAAAAACTAATTTACAAATGGACTTTTGAGATATAACCCCTTTTATAAGTTGGAAACTGCCTATTCTGAATTTAAACTTATACTGAGTACCAGGATGTGACAAACCCCAAATGGGATAGGAAAAAAATAGGTAAGTGGTCAAATTTACGAAGTCAAAAATAGACATCCCCTGAAATTATCACACTGTTTTTTGTTTTTGTTTTGTTTTGTTTTGTTTTGAGATAGTCTCACTATGTCACCATCGGTACAGTGCCATGGCTTCACAGCTCACAACAACCTCAAACTCCCGGGCTTTAAGTGATTCTCTTGCCTCAGCCTCCCAAGTAGCTGGGACTACAGGCACCCATCACACCGCCTGACTATTTTTTAGAGACAGGGGTCTCACTCCAGCTCAGGCCGGACTCAAGCTCTTGAGTTCAGGCAATCCACCTGCCTTGGCCTCCCAGAGTGCTAGGATTACAGGCGTGAGCCACTGTACCTGGCCTAAACTATCACACTATGAATGAGACAGTCGCCATAGGACATGTCCCAGAAACAGAAGTCAGCTCATGAAAATGTACTCAGAGTAAAGTAGAAATTGGAAGCTGTGAGGATGAAAATGTTCTGCAACACAGATGGTCACCGGAAATGATGGGGAACATAGTGAAAAGTTAGGTGGGTATTATTTCTTACTGTTTATGGAATTTGGCCAGGGAAAAGACCCTCTATTACAAATATTTTGAAATTTCTTTCCAGTATAGAAAAATGACTCATTAGGTCTTCCCTCCCTCGCTCTTTCCTTCCTTCTTTCTTTTTAGAGGCAGGTCTCACTCTGTTGCCCAGGCTGGATGGAGTGCAGTGGTACAAGGTCACTGTATCCTCTGACTCCTGGGCTTAAGTGATCCCCCTACCTTTGCCTCCTGAGCAGCTAGGACTATAGGTGCCTACAACCATGCCCAGGTAATTTTTTACATTCTCTACAGAGACAGGGTCTCACTATGTTGCCCAGGGTAGTCTGAATTCCTGGCCTCAAGCAATCTTCCCCTCTCTGTCTCCCCAACTGTAGTGATGTCAGGTGTCTGCCTGGCCACATCAGGTCTTTATCACTTGTGATACAGTTTACACCATCTAGATCCTATTGCTCAGATTCTATTTTAATCAACAAACTTTCCAATTATGCATTAGATTCACAACCTAATATCTTCCGACCAGGGTACCAAGAAGAAGAAACGTCCCATCTGATCATTTGACGGACACAATTTTTTAATGTAAAATTTTTAGATATCATTTTAGCACAGGGCTTAGGCTTTTTGGAATTTGATTAGCATGATCCAATTTCTAAGCTCTGATGACTCCATGTGAAACTGTAGGATATAGAAGAAATAATATCAAACTTCTTCTGACAATCAGTTTCTCGACAGCTTGCTTTCTACAGCTACAAATGAGAAATATGACTAATTTCTAGATATACGAAGCTGAGTATTAGATCTTAAAGCATAAACTCAATAGCAATATGTAAGGCCTCATAAATGGTCCCTCTCAATGGTTCTGCTTGAGTCTTACAGAATAATCTCTAGGGAAGATTTCTATTTAAATATAAGGTATTTAGCATTCCCTATTAAAAGAAATTTTGTAAAGCAGTGCCGTCTTTGGGACTGTAAACTACAACCTCCTAAGTTATCCATTTCATAAATTTGGATTTTGTAATATCTTCTTAAATTGGGGTATTCTTGTTCATATCTTTAGCC